CTCGGTAGACACTCTACTTCTAGAATCTGAAGAATTAATGCATTTGACTCTTCAAAAAATGTAAACTCGTTCAGGCAAACCGTGACGGGAGAATGTTGTGAACAATCGACGAAATCGCATGATGTGGCCACTTTGTATGAGAAAAAAGGGGCATTTTAAAAAATAGCGAGGTAAATTTTGTTATTTTTCTCGTAGAGTACTCTAAACAGTGTATTATTACCTTTAAACATTTCAAAGCAGAGGGAACATTTCAAAGGGAGAAAAAAAATTCGCGAAATGACGAAAAACGCGGCTTCGCACGCCACGCTCGGAACTTTAGGCTCTGTGAGGCGCGTTTTAAAATATTTTTTTCTCGATTTTTATTTTTTTCTCGTTATTTGTTTATAACTGGGTATATTACGTACATTTTAAGGCCAACAAAAGAATGTATGTGTTCTCATTTGTTTTAAAACCGCTAAAATCTGGAAAAAAAATTGGAAATTGACGATTTTTACGAATTTTTTTAGAGGTCTAAGCATGGTGCGATAAAATTGATTTTTTTACCCAAGAATCTGATTGGTCTGATGTATAATTTTGGTGCATCTTCATCGAAAAATGCGGGAGATATGAAATCAAACGTGAAAATACCCCAAAATTCTCCAAAAAATGGGTTTTTCGGGGCTGGAGCTAGTTGAAGTCAGGAGGTAAAAATTGCCCAAAACCATGCTTTTGGAACCTCCTGAAAGGGTTTAGACCATTAAATTCAAAATCCGTGGGTGGGGCATTTTGGTGCCTTTACCCGAGGATACCCTTTCACCAATCCCTGGGCATGGGACCGTTCCTCCGAGATTTTTTTCAAAACAAAAATGACTAACGTAATATTGAAAAATATTTTTTCGCCCGACAGAAGAGTACTAATTATTGCATGTAAAAGCAGGTTTCTAACCGCTCTATGGGGGTGCAAGCTCCTTCCTTCCCCAGAAAAATACTGCCAAAACCGACCAGGCAGGAAACGATATTTTCTATTATCCATTGATGCAACAGGTATTTGGTTTTTTTTTGTTTGGAGCCTCAATATATCTAATTGTTCTCAATTTGATGGTAAATAATCTCGGAAAAACAGTCCTGTGCATGGAGAATGGTAATATTTACCTACAGAATTTGATGAGCAGAGTCAAATACATTTAACGCTACCATATAACCCAACTTTTTAGCTCTTTGGAATAGAAATACCAAACTTACTTTCATCGAATTTTATCAAGTTGATATGCTAAATCAGATTTTAACATCGTTTTGGACAGATTTTGTCATTTAAATTGAGAATTTTGGCCCTCAAAGACAGAAATATGCTGTACCTTAGCCTGTCATCGACTCAAGTACACATAACTGTAACGCATTTGGCAAGAAACATACCTTTATGGGCTATAACTTCGACGAGTATGGGCTAAACATTACCATACGATTGTGAATAATGGATACATACGAAGCAAATTAAATTTCAAAAGCAATGCTGCCAAGTTTATTTTAATTTCTTTAAAAATCAAACATATTCTCAAGTGCTCGGAAAACGTAATTTTCAAGGTATTTTTTCCATATTGATGTCTGAACACCACCATGGTATGGTACATGATTACTGTTAAAGGCACAAATGGAATTTTTAGAGCGACGTTGCAAGATTTTGTCGGTTTATTTTACGGTAAGACGCCGGTGTTTTTGAGCTTTTCGCGCGGAGAACAGTACTTTTAGGGGCTGTCACTTTATGGAGAGTAAATTTGACCTTACAACAATATAGAGTTGGGTTTGAAAGGAAAAAATACTTTTAAAGCCAATGTTGCTATTCTATTGCATTTTTACAATTTACGATTTTTACGCAGAGAGGGGGGGGGGTACTGAGTCACTGAGAATATTAGATACGTAATTTGCGCGCAAACGCTGCGGTTCTCTTCCTTGCGTATCAATACAACTACGTACAAGTGAACTTTTAGTGTATTGCTTGTTCATTTAACATGAAAACTCAAAAACGTCCAAGTTCAATTGAAGGGTTTGGAAGACAAGTGGGGCGAGTGGAGTTTTCGAAAAAATTGAGATATTAATGCCTGTCACTAAAATTGATCTGAAAATATGATCCGTGAAAAATTCAAACCAAATCTTCACACAAAAAACCGAATTTTGAGTATAAAAACGCTAGTTGGAACTTTTTTTTTTTCGCCACGAGACTCTTCCATGTAATTTTGAGACTCTGAACACGTTCTTCTTGAAATAGCAAAAGATTGCACTTATCCTTTTCGTCCTTCAAGCCCCTCAATCAAGCTGTTACTGAATATATGTTATGTTATCGAGTTAGGTATTAATAAGCATTGAGGATGACCTCCTCATCACCAGCAAAAGAGACAATTAAACACCATATATGTAATGAACTTGAATTGCATATTTTTGAAAAATTGAATAAGTAGTACCTACATTTTTCCCAAAAAGGACACTTGTTAATATTATTTTTTGGGATCTTTTGGAAGAATTTGAAACTTTGTGATATCGGACTGGTAAGAAAAGAAAGGTGGAATGGAGGTATGCGATAGGTTTATTTTGCCAGTGTTTCTTTCTATCTGCCCAATGACCAGCGGAATCAATGATAAGCAAAAGGCACACATTGAGTTGCGGATGGCTTTTCGTCAATTCCGTCCAATACCTATATGAAGGTAAGCAAAACAAAGAGACGGCTGACTATAAGCTGTCCGATCTCATAACTCCACTACACCTCACAGTTAGTCTTGTTTTGCCAGTCACCGAATGCAAAATCACGATAACTGTCGATTGGACATGGTAAGACTGAGGTGAAATGAGGTTAGGTATGACGTGACAGGTCAATATGAAGTTCATGTTATTTGTTGTGCCTCTATCGGGGCAAACACTCAATCAACTGGCCCGACAACGGTGAACTTCCTACCTTCAGTTGATTTTTTTGCCTCGAAAAGTACAACAAAGAAAACAAACAGGGCAACTGAGGAATCGACTTCCTCCATTTCATCTTTGTAATTTCTTGCTCAGTGGAGAGACCTTTTTAAGCATCGGCGGTGAAGGACTACCTAAACCATGTTAGGAGCTGATAAAAGCCCTGACAGCTGATTTTTTTGTTTTTGTTTTTTGTGATAACTGCGCTGTAAGAACTGTGCAGGAATTCAGGGAATAAGTGCTTACTTGCCTCTATCGGGGCAAACACTCAATCAACTGGCCCGACAACGGTGAACTTCCTTCCTTCAAAATATAAATTAAAATCTAGGATACAAACGTTTTCTGACTCTACAGTTATTACAAGGTTTCGCAGTCCACCAGTGCCAGGCTTTTTTCTCGGTTATATACGTAAATCAGAGACAGGGGGAGGAGGGCTGGATCAATAATGCACTCAGAGGAATCAAAATTGCATGGTATCGAAGC